ACAAAGAATGCCATTCATTTTAAATTATCTTTTAATTATAAATTGAATAACAGCTTACTTTTTTTATCAGAATGATGTAATCTCAAATAATGTTTACAACAGTGAGGTACACAACAGTTTTCCATGTGCCTTTGCTTCTGAATCCTATTTTCTAGGTACAGCCAGTGTGTTGTATTTGCATTGTATTTCTCTAACTCCTGAATTCATTGAGTTTCTTCAAAACTCCTCTCCAGAAAATACTCAGTGGGTTTATACTATTTAATGATAGCAATATAGAGTTAATCTTGTTTCAGTAAGTCTGTAACAGTTTTAGTCAGTTGACAAGGTATTTTCCGTATATGTTTTAGCAGCACATGAGAAAATAATTCCTGCCATTTTAATGCTAATATTGCCACATTAAAAACGCATCCCCATCTCTGACTTACTATAGCATTATAGCAAAGTATTGTAGTAGTTTGCTTAATTGCCTACTGGACACATGCAGTGTCTCTGTATAGTAGTGTGAAATATGGCTTTAAAAATGCCTTTGTCTCTGCTGGTGTTGAATGAAAAACTACTTCCCTTCAAATGTGGTAAAATCCAGAAGTCATTCACCTTCATGTTGTTTCTCTTCCTTTCACTTCTAGGCTTCCAAAACACATTAATTTCTTTTGTTATTTCTTGAATGCCTTCGTTTCAGGCAATTTCATTCATATGTAAGAGTTTATTTCAGGCTTTCTTTAAGACATGTTTTTGCAAGTAAATCAAGTGTACCTGTTTGTCCTCTCATTATCCACTTTAATTTTCTTCTTGTTTTTTTAAGTTTGAGCAGACATCTTAGTTTCTGAAGTGATGGAGATGCTACCCAATGCAAATATTTTAGAACAGTCTAGGAAGATGTTACACATCTGAGAGTTACAAGTACACTGGCAAATCTTGTAGGTGTGCATCTAAATTAGTGAATAAGTACTCCGCTTTTAGTCTCTGTGTACTGGTATTTAACAAGGATTTGTAATCTGCTACTGTGTTACTTATAATCTGCCAAAGTTTAACAAAATTACAGGAGCTAATAGGTTATATATTGTCCATTTTACAAGTACAGGCTGTAGAAATAAGAATTGTGAACAAACTGAAGTGTGCTTTAAACTTCAGAGCTATAAATTTATCAGTAATCCTTTTTTTTTTGTGTGAGGTTTACCCAACTCACCTCTGTTTAACCTGTGTTTTAAAAATTCTGTGGCTTAATTCTGCAAACTACATCATTAACGATTTACTCTAGATAACTTCACAGTAGTTCTGTGTTTTTTGCCTGGCTTGATTTTTCTTTTGAAGGCCTGTAACTGTAGATTCCTTTTTAATAAATAGGGTTCATTGGTTTTGGATATTTGTTTGCATTTGTCTCAGTGCTTTTTTATTGTTCTCTTTAGTTGCTCTTGTGTAACATTACTAATTTTTGTACAGAGTCTCTTCTTCATCATCAAATACATTCTAACAGTAACATACATTGTTTTAGGAAGAATCCCTTGCATAGTTATTCTAATTAAACTATTTTTAAACTACAGTAAGTAGAACAGTTATTTTAGTTACTGTGGCTTAAGCAGTGAACTGTCATCCCTTGTCCTCTGTTTCCCAGTTTCAGAAATTTTGTATCATAGAACGATTTGGGTTGGAAGGCACTTTAAGGGTCATGTGGTTCCAACCCCCCTGCCTTGGGCAGGGACACCTCCCACTAGATTAGGTTGCTCAAAGCACCTTCCAGCCTGGCCTTGAACACTTCAGGGAGGGGGCATCTGCAGTTTCCCTGGGCAGCCTTTTGCAGTGTCTCACCACCCTGGTAGTGAATCTGCCCTCTTCCCATTTAAAGCCATTACCCCTTTTCCTATCAATATTCATGCTAGTCTTTGATCAGGCTATTAGAATTTGCAGATTCAATAAGCAGTTGCAGTTTCCATTATTTTCCTTTATGTTTTTGTTGAAATTGTTATAAAATATATAAAAGAAAGTGGTCTTTTTATAATACAGCTTGTTGTGATAAATGAGAAAAACTTTTGCAGGTTAACATTGTCATAAGCTCTACTGCAGAAAAGCTGCTGAAAGTTCATTTCACCAGGGAGGGTAGTGATAGTACCACGGGTAATGGTTTTGAACTGAACGAGGGGAGATTTAGGTTAGACATCAGGAAGAAATTCTTTACCATGAGGGTAGTAAGGCACCGGGATAAGATGTCCAGGGAGGTTGTGAAAGCCCCCTCCCTGGAGGTGTTTAAGGCCAGGTTGGATGACGCTTTGTGCAGCCTGGTCTAGGGGGAAGTGTCCCTGCTTATAGCAGGGAGATTGGAACCTGATGATCTTTAAGATCCCTTCTAACCTTAACCATTCTATGATTTAAAAGCCTAGTTTTTTTTCCTGCATCAGCTTTACTTCAAGCCTTAAATTGTATCATTTCAAGATTATGCCAAACATTAATTGTTAATGCTGATTTACTTTTTTTTTTTTTTTTTTTCAGCCAGGAATTAATGAAATGAGGGCAAATTACCTGGTCAGTAGGTACTAGGTTAGGGCAACTCTAAAAAGTCACTCTAAGATCTTAGGCCTTCACTCCAGTTAGACTGATTTGCACATTATCAGTAGAAGTCTGAGGGTTTAGATCATTGGAATGTAATCAATAACTGTTTAGATGGAACAACTCTTAATACTCATGGAAAAGGGGGCACTGAAATAAAAAGGCTTGAAAGAAAAGCTTGAAAGACTATTTTAAAAAATACATATTTTTACAACCCAAGTGAAATGGCTTCCCTAACACTCAAACTGCAAACTTATATACCATTTAGGTTGCATTGTACCTAAAGTTCAGAGTTTGATCTTTGTGCAGGTTTGTTTTCTGTTTGGTATGTTTTTTGTAAAAAATGTTTTTGCAACTTGCAGGAGCAGCATTTCTGGCTATCACAACAATTTATGCAGAAAGTGGTTCAGGATTTGTGTTGCCAAGTGCCTCTGCCAAAGCTGGTGTAGAAGCAATGAGCAAGTGAGTAATAAAGCCAAATGTGCATTCTGCTTTCCACATCCTTAAGATAGGGTATTTGGCCTATAAATATGGAGCTGGTTGGTATAGTCCTCCTATTCCATTGTATCATAAAGAGACTTTCAGCCTCCAGTACCCTAGCAAGGAGCAGAATGCTGATAGCTGCTTACAGAAGGAAGTATTAAGTGCTATTATTGTGACTATCACAAGGGTGACATAAGGGCAAGAAAAACTACTTTTTTTGGCAATATCAAGTTCTAACAGATTCTCTTGCATTTTCATTTGCTAACCAGCACTTAAAGACAGTTAGTAGAGGAACTGTTCAAGGTCTATAATGCCTTCCACTGCCTTTTGTCACAGGAAAATTATGTTCTTGTATTTGGATGGAGTATACTGTTGGTTCAGGTATCTAATTTCATAAATGTGCTTTCTACACTGTTTTAAATGAAGGTCTTCAGTTATGCTTAATTATTACTTGACATGCCCATGTTACTCAGTAAACAAAAGGATTTCTATAATTGTTAACAATAGGGCAGTTCTTAATAGCAAGTAGATACTCCTCTGCAGAATAAATTTAATAGTTTGGCAGACTTTCAGTAGCTAGAATGATTTATCCAGAAAAAGATGAGGGAATGAGTGATGGTTGAGCTGTGTTGAAAGTGTTAGAAATGTGTACTGTAGGGAGTCTAAATTACCAGAGAAAGATGGCCTAACAGTTGTTTGTTAAGGAGTTTAGGTGTCAAAGTCATCAGTATGACTTGCAAGGGAGAAGGAATTGCTCCTTAATGTTGCTTTATCTATGATGCATCTATTAAATCAATATTCTGCTGTTTGTCAATGTGATTGTTTAGGGTTTTTTCTTCTCTGAAGTGTTTTTGGTAAGAACAAAGAGTATGTTAAGTGGAAATGCTTATTTCAGGAAAATTTTAAGTATTTATACATTTGATTAAGTTGTAAGGTTTTTTTCCTTTTCTGAATAGCATTATTAAAATATTGTGTTTAAAATATTCATGTACTCTATTAATAAATTTTTAGGTCACTTGCGGCTGAATGGGGTAAATATGGCATGAGATTCAATGTGATTCAACCAGGTCCAATAAAAACAAAGGTACATAGCATGAGTGAAACACAGCCTTGATATGCTTTGGTAGTACAGACTTAACTTCAAGATAGTCTTAACCATTTCTGTAACTGTTAAATTCAAGTATGATTTCCTTGGTTGTCAAGACTGTGCTACCTCTTAATAACTCCTTTGTAAAACAGAATTTCCTGAACTTCTGAAAACTGCCACTGTTCCTTCTAAACTCCACTAATACAAATAAAATATTCTTGTTTTAGTGTTTCAAATAAATTATATATTAAAATACTTTCATTCTTAATCAACTGTACATACACTTGATGGAGTAAAAGTGCCTATTTCTGCCTGAACTCCTGGTTTTTAAACAAAACATCTCATCAGTTCCAAAATTTCAGAATCTCTTTTAGGTATATAAGAACAGATCTCACTAGTTTTGTTGAAAATCACAAAGCTAGAAAGAGAAAAAACTAAGTCAGCAGAGAAATGTGAAGCTTTGATGTGAGTGAAAAGGAGAACTGGAGGGTTTGAAGGAAGTAAACCAGACCAGCTGGAACAGGAAGAAACAAGAAGGCAGTCCTGCAAGAGGAGAGAGGAGGATCCATTTCACATTGAATCAAAATATTACGATTATGAGCAGTAACAGCTAATAATGGTACTACTACTACCTGTAAAATGTTTCACGGTGGCTTTTGCTTTGGGGGTAGGGGTGCAGGGTGTCTTATTGTTTTTTGATCTTTTTTGTTCTTTTTTCCTCTTCGGTAGTAGATGCTACACCACACAATTCAGTTTTACCTTTTTTGACTGTACAAAAAAAGTGCAGCGCTGTTATCAGCAGAGTTGTAAGAGTATTGAAATAACATTATAGAATCAGACCAAAAGTCCTCCTGGATCTTATGGATTTTTAGGCAACAGTAGAATAAAAACATTTAATTACATTTCTTCTTAATGTCTCCAGCCTTTGGCAGTTTGTGACGCAGGGGAGTTTGATACAGTTGATAATCTCTTCATATCATAGTCATCTCAATGGATTTTTTTTCTTTCATCACCTTATCCATAGAAACTTTTGACATCCACTATATCACTTTGATTTCTAGATTCTCATAATTTTTGGCAAGTTAACTGCTTTAAATGTCGATATTGCTACCTCCCATTAATGTTTCTGTTTTTAATAGCATATATCCCACTTGAGATACCTGTGTTTTTAAGAAAGTACTTAATTTGTCATACTCGTTGCAAGTTAAAATTTCCCTGAAAACACATAATAGGGCAGACCAGCTGTACTTAAAACAGCATATTGCAAAATCAAGGCTTTCTGCCTCAGAGGCTACATCCATGTCTTTAAAAAACACTGTTCTAGGTCATGATAGAAAAAGGAAAAAGAGTACTAGCACAGTTGTGCTAAGCTTATAAACTGGTATTTAAAAACTTGGCAATGAAAGACTTAAATGGCATGAGTACAGCCATGGTTACATACATTAGAATGTGTTTTAACTCTTAATTTCAGTAACAACATAAAGGTTACTAACTTATGTTACTGATTTTGCCTGAGGAGACTGTTTTGTTGTGGAGGAGCCAGGAAGAACAAAACCTCTTCTGTTTCCCATTCCATTCTAAGCAATTCAAATCCTGAAACTTCCAGTGACAGCTGAGTTCTAGCCACTGGTGCAATTTAACCAAACCTGATTTATTTATTTTTTTCTTTTCAGGTTTACTTACTCTGTCATGTATAATTTTTCCATCACTTTCCTGCTCCTCTACTCTCCTTGTTTCTCTCCCCAATCCGGGCAGCAATTTTGAGTCTTGCTCATTTGGTCAGATGTTTATCAAGGGTGTCTGGGAAACAGACTATTAACTCCTTTTGTTTTTCATAGTTAGATGGATGGTAGGTGACTGTCCCAAACATGTTAAATTCTACTTTTTCACCCTCAGCAGATGTGTATCGATGCAATAGGGACAAATTCTTATTTCTGTTCCCTGCTTTTTCATCCTGCTGACAAAGATTGTTTAGGAAGTTTACTCACAAATGTTAATTCTCATATTGTTTATGTGGAGTCAAATCTCTGTTGGATTTTAATAACTTTTTTGTTCCCCTAATGTTTCTCTAATCTCAGGGTGCTTTTAGCCGCCTTGACCCAACAGGCACATTTGAAAAGAAAATGATTGAGAGGATTCCCTGCGGCCGTCTGGGAACTGTAGAAGAAATTGCAAATCTTGCTGCCTATTTCTGCAGTGACTATGCAAGCTGGGTTAATGGAGCAGTGAGTTTTGGTTGATCTTATTTATACAATTAACCTTATGATGGTCTGAGTTGTACTGATAAATTTTTAAGCCCTGGTTTTCAGAAATGAAACAAAAATTGCTACTTGGAAATTATTTACAAGCATTGTTAACCCTTTTAATTGTAATGCATGGTAGTTAGTACCTTTAAAAAGAACTTATAAAAAATAATGAATTACATTATTTTGAACATGCTTTTTTCTGATCCAAATAAAAAAAAATAACTTTCACAGGTCATAACAAAGGTATTCTACAAAAAAACCCACTGTTATTTAATGCACTGCTTATGCTTTTTCTAGGTTATTAGAATGGATGGTGGAGAATATGTTTCTATGGCAGGAGAATTCAATGATTTGAAGAAGGTATTACATTCCTTGCTTGCTATTTTACATTAAAATAAATACTTAGATGTGAAACTATTTCATGGAATTCCAATAAAACTCTTTTCTTTTATTAGGTTACCAAAGAGCAGTGGGATATAATGGAAGCAATGATTAGAAAAACAAAAGGGTCCTAAATTATGTGACTGGAATATGGTGGAGATTTTTCGACATGAACCACTACTTTTTCATGAATACTTACAAATAACCAATAGAGAGCTAGCCTTTAAGATACTTCTTACGCTGATTTCAATAAAATATTTTGAAATTGTCATATTTTGAATATAGCATGTGTATTTTTCCTGTCTATGGTGTAATCTTGCCAATAGTGAACACCAGTTGTTCACTGAAATTGTGCTATTCTTTATATTATGTCTTATATAGCTATGCCATGGTCTACAATTTGCTTTTCTTTAACATTTCAGAGGATTTTTTTGTTTCTCAGATATGTCGTTTGATATTTTAATTCCAAAAGCTCTTCAGAACTATCCAACCTAATATAATTTTAATGTGAATAAAAATGAAGAAACTGAGTCTAATAATAAGTCCTAAACTTGCAAATAACAACATTTCATGTTAGCAATCCTATGTACAATGACATTGGATGTAACTCCTGTGGTTGCTTTCAAAATCTTGAAATACGTTGACCATCTTGGTCTCATCTTTTGCTGACATTTTCAGTCTGTTAATTATCTTATGCTGAACTTTAAAAATGGCATTTAAGGACTAGCAGTGCCTTTCTAAGAAGCTTACTCTTTGTCATGATTAAGTAAATGTTCTTGAAAATGAGAAACTAAAAATCATTTGTTATTAATGTGTGACTGGGGGAGTCTACCCTTGAGAAAGGGTTTACTTAAGGCTAGTAAAGGACTCCAGTAAATCAGGACTGAAAGCATTGAAACCTTATTGGTTGACATACACAGAAATCCCTGGGATTCATTTTGCATTCACAAACTGGCGCTAAAGCAGCTTTAAGGTGACATAATTCAAAGGTATATTTGTGAGCTGTGGTACAATCAAGTATTTCTCTGTGGTATTTAGTAGGGTATCCTTTGGAGATTAGCTGTCAATTGCATCCATGGGTGCCTACGACTTTTACCATAGGAAAGTTTGTCATGTGGTTGAAGTACTCAGCTGAGAGTGAAGGTAACCACCAGCTACAGTTGTTTTTTTCCCAATATTTCAGCAGTCGGTACCACAGTGCTTAAACGTTAACACCTACTGACATAGTAAATGCCAGAAATTCATTATGTGGCTTTAAACATGCAGAGCCAGTATTCTTTGGCTCAGTCACCACTATAATGCTGCTTTGCCTTTTGATGTCCTTTGTTTAGAAAGTAAACTTTCTGGAGGTCTGTTCAGAAATGTTTCTTTTCCAAGGATTTCTGTGCAAAAGCACTTAAAAGAATTTCAAGGGCTTTCACAGTTTAAAATGAATACTGTTTCTTGACCTAAAATGACAATATCTTTGTCTTGCCTTTGCTTTGCTCTTCAGAGAGATTCAGGTCAAATTTGCATTTAGGAGAAACTCACTTTCATTCATAAGTGAACCTTTTGGAGACTGAAGCTCTTTTCTGAACTGTCAGCATTACTGGTACATTTTTCTTAAGGGCTGTGTTTTTTGCTTTATTTAAGTCAGTAAAAGAAAATTATCTTTGGGATTTTGGTGCATTGACCTGCTTTTACTTGCTACAGAACAACTTCAGAGCGATTTGGGGGTGCTTGACACTTCAGAAAATCAGACCATGCATATTTGGGTGCCTAAATTTGGTTTCTGTGCCTCCTCATAGGCACAACAAATAGGTGTGGATTTCAGTGTGCCTCCACAACCAATGATTATAACCATGATTATGATGAGGGCTTAGTATAAATGCACGAAATGCCAAATGGAAATTAATCAGAAAAGCAAACATCTAACAAAGACTGAATCCTAGTTTAAGTAGAATTTAGCAGCAGTCTGTGTGTGTGTTTTCTGAGACTTAGTTCATTTTGCATAAAAGCTGCAGGCTGTCAGCATCCTGATCTGTTTTTGACATTTGCACATGGAATATGCTATTTAAAAAATTTATAAGCTTGGGAGGGTAATCTTTTCAAAGATGCATAACGAAGTTGGGGGGATTAGAGTGATGCTGTGATACCGTGCATGAACGGTTCAGGATGGAACAGTGCAGCAGTGAACAACAGCCAAATGGCTTGTTTCAAGGGCTATGTTCAATCTTGATTAAATCACCAGTGAGAATTCTCCATAATGGGCGGTGATTTGTATCACAGCTGCCTGTTGGGCAGTGGGAGTGACCTGGAATCAGGTAAGGCCCTGAGGTGTACTGATGGACTCTGTTTTTGTGGGCACAGCTGGGAGCAAGCACTCAATGCCTCACCTGGTACTGTTGTTAAGGTCTACATCTGTCAGCAAACACTGCATTTAGGATACCAAAGATTTTTAAACTGCCTATTAGTTACTGGTTTGGGTTTTTTCAGTGTTAGTAAAAGTTAGTTGTTTTGTGCTTTCAAATTAATAGAAAATCACCTTTGATCTGAATACCAAGCACTGTGTTAAATTTTATTCTGTACATACTTCAACTAGAATGGGCTAATTTTTTTTACAACATACTTTTTTGTAATTTGTAGGACAGTGTGTTTGTTGATTTGCTTGAGTGCTTATTTGAGTATTTATTTTAATAAACTGTGTGTTTTTAAACAGTAAAATGGTTGTTAGCTTCAGTGAGGGGGATCTGAGGTCCCTACATGTCAGTTTCTCTGTGCAGCAGGAATATGGCATACCTGCACTACTTCATGTCATTCATTTTTGTGCATGTTACAATTTTACTTTGACCAGGTATCTACCAGAGAAAGGTTGCAGTCTTCCCTGTCATCACCTCTCTTATTATTCCAAGCCTTATTCTGTCCCAATCCTGACATGTTTAAGAGCTCTGCCCAGGACTGATTTAAGCATTTTAAAACCTGGAGATTTTACAGCAGTTTTGAATTTACCTGCATTTGCTACGCTTTGCTTTGCACTGACATGTGGACACCTTTGCTAGAATTGGGTTTGTAAACTGCTGTCTTTTAACCCAACTTTATTTATGAAAAATAACTGCAGGAAACATTCTGCCTGTGAGTGTCTGAGATGTGCTTTCTGTGTCATGCTCCACAGCAGAGCCAGCTGGTCAGCAGCAGCAGCTGTAGAAGGGTGGCTTCAGAACAGATCTGTGATGTAATTTTGCTCATATGCAGGAAGACAGATTCCAATTTCTGTGATGACTCTTTGTGAAAACACTTTAAATGCTTTATCTTCCACTGCAATGATTTTAGCAAACGGTCGCATCACAATTTTACATAGAACTTCTTTTGTTTTTTTCTTCACATTTTTAAGTTGTTAAGGCAAAAATCCAGGGTTTCAAGTGCACAGTATGAACAGTATCAATCATTTATTGTACTGATAGGCAGATTCACTGTTCCTCTGCCTAACATACACAATTGTATTTCACATTGCATAGAGAAAAGAGAACAAGCAGGTTAGCGGTTAAATTATTGTGCATGGAGTGAGAGTAAAGCAGTGAGAATGAGCTAGCTTAATCTTACTGTAATTTTTTTGCAGCTTTTTTCCAGCAAGATTCCATCTAGCACCACCTACTCCTTAACTTTCCAAGGCTGAGGCTGGTGAGAGCCCAAGGCCACTAGGCCATTCCTAAAATGGTATTTAGTTGTCTGAGTTCACCCGAGGAATTCAAGGATTCATTTCAGTGTGAATTCAGTGACTGTAATCTTGAAAGATCTGTGATTCATTGTTTGAGACAAATAAAATGCATTTCCTTCTGCTTGTTAAATAAGACACATAGATGCTTTCAAGAAGTTACTCAGCTAATCTGCTAACTTTGGATTTCTTCTGAAACAGCTGTACATAGAGGCAACAGGTTTATTTGCTTTAAGACAGCCCAATTTCCTTCCTACACCAGTTCTCACTGGGAGCAGTGGCCTGGACATTCATGGAGTCAGTCATAAAGCAGGTATAAAATAAAAAGGAATCCAGGCCAAAAAAGTAAAGATGCAAGACAGGGCTGTTTCCATAGTATAGTTCCCATTTAAAAAATGCCTCTCTGGGATTATAAAAAGCAAAGCCCACTGTATAAAGTCTGTACTAGATCTTTTGCTTCATTTAGTGTTAAATTTTAATACTATTATTATAGCTTAGTAATTCAGTGTAAGATCTGATGAGGCACAATGTTTTTAAAATTAGTAGTTTTATCCTTTACATGGTACAGAAAAAATAATTCAGGAAATAGACAAACTAGACACCAACAATCTTAGGATATTAAATTTAATTATAGATTACACAGAGTATGATGTAAAAACAGCAATTTACTAGAATAATTATAACCTGCAAAATGTGAAAATAGTTTAGAAAATGGATTGTCATATTCTCTGACACAGCAATAGTCATGAAAGGTACACTTATAATATCATGTTTATCTGTGTAATAACTGTATTACCTGTCATTTAGCCAGGATTCCAAGATAGATTAAAGGCATTTATTTCTGAAATGCCTATGTTTAAATTCAGTAAAGTTAAACAGCTAGATTAAAACCACTGTATTTTTGTCAACTACTGCGTGGAGATCTATCCAAGATAAATGCTTTGTCTATGTGCTATATATGAGAAGAGTAATTGAAAACTTGCAGAGAGCACAAACCTGTAAGTGGGTGGTTTGACAACTGAAAGTATTTCTTAGTGCCTTTGCAAATTTTAGGAATCAGACATGTCAATGTGCCTTTTCTCTTTCAGACCTAGATCATATTTAATCTGAATTAATATTTTGCATTTTAAAATACCCATTTAGTTGTAATGGGGAAAGATGTCTCTAGACCTTTTTGTTTTGTTCAACAAGAAATGTTGCAAGTGTCAAAGGATATGATGACCACAGCAATGTCAGCAGGTTTAATTTTTTTTTCCAGCCATGTTGGTGAAAGCAAAAAAAAACAACGCAAAAAACAAAACCGACCCTGACATATTTGTTTCTTTTTGAATATACAGACTGACCCAAACATAGACATTCTCTTTGTCAATCTTATTGTTACAAAAACTGTACATTACAAACAGTATAGAAACAAACTGAAAGGAATGTGCCACACATCCTGGCTAATTTTCTATATGCAGTTTAAAAATACAGCCTACTCCTTTATAGTGCACAGTTATTGTGTAGATAGAGTACATCACTAGTTAAGTGGACATGAGAGAAGAGTTCTAGTTTTCCTCAGCACAGAGAATAAGAGCCA